ATCATCAATGTCAGTGTGTGCCATTGTGTGGGGTTTGTTTAAAGACTTGTGCAAGTGCATCAGACGGCCCAATTTTCAATTGTGTAATATTACAAATAATATACAATACGAGATTGAAATAAAGATTTATAATGTTTTTCTTTGTTTTTTTTTCGGGCCACCAGATTTCATTTTCGGGCCACCAAAAATTGAAAATCAATGATTTTGGTGGCCCGATCGGGCCACTGAAAAAAAAAGTTAGTGTCGAGCCTAAACGTACGCGCCATGTCGTGGCAACTTTCATAACGATCCCAACGAACATTCCTTTGAGAAGGTTCCTGATACCATTCCTGTGCATTCCACTGTTTCGGCGTGTATGTGAACACATTTGGGACTAACAGGGTTTACTAAAATCCCACCACTCCACCACAGAGTCACCGCAGTAGACGTTAGATGAGCGCTGTCGCTCCGCGGCACTTGTTTTATTTCTGTAATACTGTTTATTATAAGTAAATCTCATCCAAAGGTAGGCTGGAAGTGGAACAGAATGTCCAAGGAACAATAAAAAAATTTAAAAAAAACAACTCATTTCATTGTTTGTGCGCAGCGGCGTGCATGCAGCGTACGTGTGTGTTGCAGGGAAGCATTTGAACGGCATTTACAGGAAATTATCAGTAATAATAGGCGAGAGAGAATACAGAAACATTAAGACTTTAGTAGTAAATACATTTTGTGTCTATTTACCATCGTTTTATTATTGAAACGTTCCAAGTGCTTGTGCTCACTCATATCCTCATTTATCAATATCCATTAACCAGAAAAAGGCCCTCATAGGGACTGTCATCCTATTTTCAGGGTTAATTCATAATCTAAAAAATTCCATCATTATTATCAGTGTTCCTAAGACCTTCATTAGTCATGTCGTCAGGAGTGTATAATATAGACTGTACACTATCTATATTATCAGGAGTGTATAATATAGACTATACACTATCTATATTATCAGGAGTGTATAATATAGACTATACACTATCTATATTATCAGGAGTGTATAATATAGACTATACACTATCTATATTATCAGGAGTGTATAATATAGACTATACACTATCTATATTATCAGGAGTGTATAATATAGACTATACACTATCTATGTTATCAGGAGTGTATAATATAGACTATACACTATCTATGTTATCAGGAGTGTATAATATAGACTATACACTATCTATATTATCAGGTGTGTATAATATAGACTATACACTATCTATATTATCAGGAGTGTATAATATAGACTATACATAATACACTATCTATATTATCAGGAGTCTATAATGACAAATTCTATTTACACTCTTGATCTGATATTATACACTCCTGAGTGATGTCGCCCCCACGCGTGGGTTTTTCTAATGGCTGTGTTGATTCTGCAGGGTTCTGATCCTTACCTGCGGACAGTTAGAGGTCAGCTGCAGATGAGGCGTGCCACGCTTAACCAGGAAATGAACAAAGAGCTGATGCTGAAGGATGGGGCACAGAAGATGTACAGGTGAGCTGACTTGAGACAATTCCTCTTGCTGCAAAGATTTCTGCCAAGTTTGTGTAAACAGTATACTCGCTCTTTTAGCACGAGAATATTTATTAGTTATCAGTACGTCAAACTGAAGTGCGTGCGTGCCTGCGTGTAGTGTGCGTGTGTGCGTGTAGTGTGTGTGTGTGCGTGTGTGTGTGTGTGTGTCAGTGAGATCACGGGCTAATAATACATGTATTAAGAGATATTAAGAGTATTAACAGATTAGCAGATTAGATATTAATTAATGGAACTGAGCTACACTCATAGCACTCCCCACAGTGTTTATGCTTGTACAGTATTAATAAGGGAAGGCCCATGATCAGGTAGCCATCAGCAACTAATGATCTTACATGATTTCACCAGATCTTACACCAAGGTGTTTCATTAGTAGACTTGTCAAATTTCAGACATTACCATGTATAGGTATAGGTCACTATAGTTGATGCTTGGCACTAGTGTTAATTTTCTTCTTTAAGTTTCCATCATCGGCAACATATAACAATATTTTGGATTACATTCACAGTGTGATGAGGAACAAGAAGTCGAGAGAGAGTCTCAATGTAGAGCTGATATTTGCCAACTCTAACTTACAAGTTTTGAGAGACGAACTGGCAGATATTAACAGTGATGTCGTTGTCTACCAGAGTGACAGGTACACGCAGTAACTTCTCGGGGAGGAGGGGGGTAATGATAGGAAATGTCTGTGGTTTATAGAATATCAACATGGTAGATGAAGCACTAGGGTGTGCGTGTGTGGATGTGTGTGTGTGTGTGGATGTGTGTGTGTGTGTGTGTGTGTGGATGTGTGTGTGTGTGTGTGTGTGCGTGTGTGTGTGTGTGTGTTCACGTGCGTGTGTGTGTGTGTGTGTGTGCGTGCGTGTGTGCATGCGCGTGTGTGTGCGCGCGTGTGCGTGTGTGTGCGCGCGTGTGTGTGTGTGCATGTGTTGTGTGTGTGTGTGTGCGCATGCGTGTTCGTGTGTGTGCGCATGCGTGTTCGTGTGCGTATGCGTGCACGTGTGTAGTTAGAAAATCAATTAGAATTGGGAAAACTAGAGACTCAAGACGGAAGTTAAGGTAAGGCGATCAAGTTTATTGCTACATCCAATAATTGATGCATATTCACAGCTGTGAGCTGGCAGCATGTAGATATGGATGAGTGGGTGATGCAGTGAAGTGAAAAGTGCGACACCTTTGTTCATAACTACAACAATATCTCGTTCCTTTGTTTTAGCACTAGCCCTAGTATGCCGATGGTTCCACTTGCGCTGAAGGAAACACAAACAGTAGACTTCACACAAGCGCTCAACGTGAGTTCATACACCTCTCTATAATCCGGGATATCGATGCTTACTGTACGTAACCTTCAAAGAGCACTGTCATGTTGGCATTAGAGCGATGGTGGTTAGAGGAAGATAATTATCTAAATAAGTGGGGTATAAATAAATAATAATGCCTGAGGAGTGTGTTGTTGCTCTCGTCCTTGTGCTAGCTGCATGGTTGTATAGCAGTTTTGTTTCACAGGATTTGATCAGAGACCATTACCACGAAGAACCTGAGAGCTATGAGGAGCAGATCAATGAACTCAATGAAATTAGACAGGTATGCTGTAGTCGCGCTGGCTGCAGGTAATTATTCTTGTGTGTCAGAAGCTTGTGCAGTAAGAATTAAATACTCGTTTGTGCTGTCACTAACAGTGCTAAGATTACCACGCAAAAATTAGAAACCCAATGCTTCCAGGCTGTCCGAACACCCATGAAGAATTCGCACGGTATAGGACTTCTCTTTGAATACTACAACCTGCTATATTTCATAGAGCAACGATTCTACAGTGATGAACTCGGTCTGAGGTTGCTATTTAATTGGTAAGTGTTAAGTATTGACAAACTTATCACATTGTGTCTCAAAGGGTGTGACTATGACTACATTTATTTTTACTAATACATATGCTTTTACTTCTGCATTAAATTGTAGGTGTTTTTAGTTAGAGTTATGCACTGGAGCAATGACTAGTTCATTAGCCTCTGACACAGGCCGTATTTACAGGTATGATTCATTAACGGGAGCACCGGCTAGCCAAAAGTCACTTGCATTTGAGAAAGGTTGCCTTATGTTTAACATTGCTGCTATCTACAGCCAAATTGCAGCAAAACAGGTATAGTGTACTCTTATTACAGATTATATTGTTTTGGTTGCATGAGGAGTTTGAGACTCAACTGACAGCTGAGTGCATAATAAAAAAAAGTTATAAATTTGGCATAGTTTAACCTGGTATGAACAAATTTTGGCTTTTGTCCGCTAGATGGCTACATTCGCGGGAATTCGACTGTTCTACTTTTCTGACATCACCCCACTGCTAAAATTATCGCCCGTATTAAGGCCTATTTATCGTCATTATATCTACAAATATGGGTGGATTTAACAAATATGGATAAGCCTATGTTGGTGTTCGACACACGGGCTATACATTGAGATCAGTGGCGTGGGGTTGATGCTCACCGCGGCGAAGATTACCGCGTCAGAAAATCGGCCTATCCTCTCTTATAATATAGATATGATTTAATTTAACAGAACCTTTGCTGTACTGAGGGGCTGGAGGCTGCAGTAGACAACTTCCAGAGAGCAGCAGGGGCACTGAAATATCTGCGAGAAAACTTTAGCTTTGCTCCATCATCGGATATGAAGGCGGACACCCTGGATATGCTGATACCCATAATGCTGGTGAGCTCCCATCTAATTGTTGAAATACTTGGCGAAACACCATCTTTGTTATAATCTTTGAATGGTGCTGCATCATAGTCGTCACAGTGCCATGCTTTTATTATATTTATTTTATATTTGTATAAAATAATTATATTTATATTATATTTAGTAGCTCATCGGACGAAGTCAGATGCAGCTTTGTAGAATCGCATGATTGTCCGTCCGTGCGTCCGTCCGTCAACAGTTGGGCACAAATCTTAACCGCTCGACGTACGGTGACGATATTCGGGACGTGGTGGGGGGTGATGGGGGGATCGTGAAAAGAACTCGGGATGACCAATTTGGGGGTCAAGGGTCAAAGGTCAAGATGTGTCAACGGAGGGGGAATATTCCCTCCTTAACTTAAGGTATAGGGAGGAAATGCAGAATTGCAGCACAAATCTAAACGGCTCGACCTAGGGTCGTGATAGTCGGTGTATAGCATCATGGTAGAAAAAGCCATCACTGTGCCGAAATTGGAGGTCACAGGTCAAAGGGCAGTGGGAGAAAGGTCAGATATCAGACATTTTCTGAGGACATGGCCTAACGGACAGAGTGAAAAACTTTTTTGTTTCAGCACTGACCTACCATTTTTATCACTTTATTAAAAGGACCATGAAATGTGCTTTGCGAAGAGTAAGTGTCTGATAACCTTTTGACCCTCAAGAGGAGGGTTAAACATGGATTTGTTGACTGTTAACAAAGGACTGAACTGCTTTTGCTATTATTAGAGCCCATACCTGTTTGGATGTGAGGCTACATTTGCAGTTCAATTGCAAAGACAAAAGTTTGTTGAACAAGGTTTACACTCCTTAAATCATATTATTTTCTAAAGCAGTCTGTATATTAATAGCACCCTGAATGCTCGCGTGGCTACCGGGCATCCGAAATGTAGGCAAAAACCGGGGGGGGGCAACCCATTACTCATGCATGGGGGTGAACTGGCACTTTTCTAATAAACATGCACACCTGCAATGCAGATGTGTTTAATTTATTACTCACAGCGGAGCGAATTTGTCGCCTGCCTGATTTTAGCTTGTAAATTTTAGCAACTCAATGGAATTAGGTTATCTCTACTTTCTTGACTCATCACCAATGCACGAAGGGCGATGCCATCTTTGATTATTGATTACACTTGCACGGGCCATCTCGCGGCAACTATAGGCCTAGTGATACATTATGACACGAATATATAAGACAGTCGAGCAGGTATGAAGTAGGATGCATTGTTAGGGTTTAGTTTTAGTGTTAATACCTATGCTACACAGTTTTGATGATGACGTAGCCGGTTTAGCGATAGAACAGGCTTTCAACCTTTTGCAGAAACGAAAGCGAGTACAGTAGAGCAGCAGACCTCAGATGAGCACTGTCGCTAATGCGGCACTTGTATTATTAAGTAATTATTAATTAATTAATAATTAATTAATTATTTGCGAGACATCCCTCTTTATCATTTCATTGCCGCATTTACTTCCCTCTACGTCTCTATGTCGCAATGTGGAACTTTCAACTGTGACTATGGTTTTGCAACATTACACTTTCCGATCACCAGGTACCCGATGGGTCATGTACCACAGCCTGTCAGCGTGCTATCCCAGCATGCACTGGCGGAGAACGGGTCGCAGGGGCGACCGCCGCAGCCTCCGACGGCCGGACCGCAGTACATAGGTACGTCACCATGCCCCGCCCGCCCCGCCTGCCACGTCCAGCCGTCGCTGGTGTGCTGACGCATGCTCACACTCTGACTCCTCATGCAAGTTTTCCTTGTTAAATAAATATAAATTATAAGTAAAATAAAAAAAATACTTAAAAAAGTAAGTAAAGTAAAGTAAGTAGTTTGATAGTTTAAAGTAAATATGTATAGTGTACACATATGACAAATTTCGTTCGTCTGTTGAAAAATCTTTTTAACGTGGTTGGACGGTTGAGTTTTTTTTTTACGGTGATTATGATTATTTATAAACTGGAATCTATAAAAAGAAACTAAAATAAATTAATGCAAGTGCCTTTTGATGTGGAGGTGCAAAGTTGTTGTTGTGGCAGTTGTGTATCTGTTCCCTAAATCCGTTTGTTGTCTGTTGTTGATATTTCATAAATGCTGATACCTGTCATTTTTTACAGGGTATCCAGTGGTGAACTACTCACAGTCACAACCACTGCAGCAGCCTGCTCACATACAAGCAGCCCAGCAGCAACAGCAGCAGCAGCAACAACATCAGAGTTTAATGATATGATAGCAGTCTGCCAGTCTCTTCTCACGAAGGCTGGATTATTATCGATAATGGTTATTTTAGGCCCATACTCTTACCTGAAGAAAAGAATGCATGGGACAGGAACATAAAGATGCAAATGTGAAATTTGGTAACGTCGCTACTGCTTGTATTTCAGGCTCAAGCTAATGAGTGCTGCTTTTTGAAGCAAACTCTCGGCATTGAACAAGTGCTGGACTTTCATTTGCTTGTGGCGATCGCTCGGGAAGCGGCAATGGTTAGTGTTAACTGTTTGTCGTCTTCATAGTACTTTCTACCACTGTGAGAGGTGTCCTCAAGCAAAAAGCCGCTGCAAACTAGATACTTAATTTGCTTACTCGGAGAATAATTGTCGTAGTTTATGCAAGAAATTTGAAAATGATGATGATGATGATTGATTGTAGTGAGCGAAATAATTCCTGTTTCTACAGGTTTCAAACAAGTTCTCTGCCATTCATCGTTCAACAGCTGAGTCTACTGTGAAAGATTTGGTGCCACCCTCGTGGATGATGATGGCGAATGTGAAAGCAGAGTATTATAGAGCTCTATCACACTTATACATGGCTAAAGCTATTCTTTCTTACAAAGGTCTGTTGCACCATATCTCGTTGTTTCGAAGCATTTCATGTACATGAATGTATGTGTGTAGTGTTACATACTATACTTCATAATTGATTTGAATTTTAGGACTATCCCAGTATCATAGTGAGGCTAGCAGTATAAATATGAAAGTTTTGACGTGGTTCAGCTCAGTTTTTGTGTAGTTAATGACCAGTTAACAGTGCAATAGGTAAAAATGTTGCAATGATGCAATTTATTACACTTCCAAACGTTCTAGTTTTAATAAAGGGACATGCCTTAGCTCTTAGTAAGTCGGTATGTGTAGGTACTAAATACCTATACGACGAAAGCAGAGAGTCGTGTCGTCATATACGTCAGGCTATGTATGGCCTTGTGTGACCACGTGACCTCATTCTCACACATAGGTAAAAAATCAATATTCAATTTATGTGCAGATTCTGAGCTACATAGTTTAGTGATGGCACTGACTCAGGCCTGTGAGGCAAACCATGATGGTATCAGTGGAAATTACCTGCCACCCAAAGACACGGCTGACATTTATAATATAGGTAAGTGGCCATTTCATGTACCTCATATGAAAATTGAACAATTATTGTTACACAGAAGAGAAGTTCACTTGTTCCACCTGTTTTTAGTTCGCCTTGACATCGTCAAGATGAGCTATTGCCATGGAGTGTCATTCATCTGTCCGTCAACATTTGGCTACGATCAACGATAACTCAAGAACCGTTTGACCCACGTGTTTCAAATTGAATACAGTTGTTACTCCTATAAGAAAGATTTGAACTTCCTATTTTGGAGCACGCCAGTCGACCTACTTTTGAGCCACGCTCATTTTTTGGCAAAAATGAAAATGGCCATATAAATTCAATCGATTTTGTTAAATTTTGGTATGTGAATGTGTAAGGCTAGCCCCAAAACAGTTGTTACTCCTATGGGAGAGATAACAACGTCCTATTACGTTTATTTCGTCTAACTGGTTAACAACTCTACAATCATACCTATATACGTGTAATATGGTTTTAGATTCCTCGTTACAGTAATTTGGCTGGAATATTTTATTGTTTATATTTGCGCGATATTCGAAAACCAAAATGGCGATCATTTAGGCTTAGCGCCATCTCTCGTCAAGATTTCAGACTTTCAGATCTGAAGCATTTATTTTCGCATCAAAACTTATCCATATATCATTATCAAGAGTATATAATGGGAGATATGCTATATAATGGGAGTTCTCCCATAATATATACTTTTGCTTTATATATCCCCCCTCCCTCTTCTATCACACCCAAGGTGAGCTACAGTAGGTAGTATGGTGACTGAGGTGGTCTCATACTCGTCAGTAAATAACATGTTATAATTTACATCCATTTGCACTTGCCCACTCGTGCTTCGTTCCCAGCAGTACAGTATGCGAGCAGTATCTACTGCACGAAAATTAAATTAAAATTAAATACGTTAGATAAATGGCTAGTAAGTGGCTGCATAGAGTAACGTGTGTGCATCTGCAGAGAATAATACAGGGTGTTGCACTGTTTGTTAAATCTAATAGCAAATAGTACAGAGCGTCCATACTGTAATGTGTGTGCATCTGTAGAGAATATAACTGGTGTTGCACTGTTTGTTAAATCTAATAGCAAATAGTACAGAGCGTTCATTCTGTAATGTGTGCGCATCGTGTTACAGCGAAAGCGCACTACCGGGAGGCGACCATACTTGCCGAGGAAAGCCTGAGACTGCACAAGCTGTGTCGACAGCTGCACAGCGCCACCTGTCTGCAGGCACTGCTGCAGCATATGCACGCCCGCTGCCTCGACAGCTACGCAGACATGGAGGAGGAGGATGACTTCTCGGAAGTTGTCAGCGTTCCGGCGATCGCAGGTGAGGTCCTAGCTTGACTTTTAATTTAATTATATTATATAATATTAATTAATTTTATTTTAATTTAATTAAAAAAATGTTTATAAGTGAGTTTTACTGGAAAGTGGAAAGTGTAGAGTATGTACATGGTTTTGTCGAACATTGGATAAAGGCTACAGGCGATTAAGCATTTGCAGTATGTGAGTCTTTGGCTCAGATAAACTCGCTGTCGTGGCCCACAGTGTGCTTTCTCTTCTAGTTGCTATCAGGAAACTTGATATGCATTTATTCACTTTTCCCACAGATTTTAATGGGTATTAATTAATGCAGTGTTCGTAACTCTATGGACCTTTTACATATGGTGTCATAATTGAATGATAGTTTGTGTAAATATAGATTGTATGATTATACTTGTATGAGCTGTAATGATGAAAGAAACTGTCTAGCATTTTCATAAATGCAGTCTCTTTTTCTATAGCACATTCCATGTCCAAGGTTGCAGCAACACCTCCACAGCTCTCTCAATTTAAAGTATACGATATATTCCGAAAACTGGTAAGTGTGCCAATTTTACGAAAGAGCGGCTGTGTGTGACAATGCTTTGCAAGATATTGCTGATAATTCAGTGTACATAAGACTTAAGCGTTCTGTAAATGTGTCAAGTTTAGTGCCTATAATAATTGAAGGCAACAAACAAGAAAAAAAAACAATGAAAATAAATCGTGAAATCTTCTTGCAAATTCCAACTTGTTATATTTTCTCTCAATCTATTAGGGTTTAAAAACTTTAAAGTGAATATAGAAAGCAGACTCCAAATTACAATGCTTCAAAACACATCTGGTTCATGCAAGGAACCTGCAAATCCTAATTCTTTAGACATCATAGTCTTGAACTTGTTTCATTTTCTGCTGCTTTCCGACCAGGGTCCGTTACTGCTCTTCAATGCAACCAATAGCTGGTCTGAACCCAGGACTGTGATTTTGAGTCGGGAGACAGCCGACCAAAACTTTGGCTTCAGCGTTGTCAAGAGCTCTCCTGTGCATCTGTCAAGTGTGGATGTTGGTGGAATAGCAGACGTAAGTACCTCAATCTCTTGTATCCTAAATTAACATTTATATTTGGATCACAGGTATGTTTTAATATGTATTCTCATTTTTAGCTCGTCTGACATAGTCAGATGCAGCTTGTAGAATCGCATGAGCGTGCGTCCGTCCGTGTGTGCGTGCGTCCGTGCGTCCGTGTGTCTGTCAACAGTTGGGCACAAATCTAAACGGCTCGACGTACGGTCACGATATTCGGGACGTGGCGGGGTGATCCGAAAACGAGTTGGTATGTCGAAGCTGGGTGGGGGGGGTGTCAAAGGTCAAAGGTCAAGAGGTGTAAAAGAAGGGGGAACATTCTCTCCTTAACTTTAGGTATAGGGAGGAAATATGCAGAATTGCGGCACAAATCTAAACGGCTCGACCTAGGCTCGTGATAGTCGGTGTATAGCATCATGGTAGGAAAAGCCATCACTGTGCCGAAATTGGAGGTCACAGGTCAAAGGTTAATGGGGCACAGGGCAGATTTTAGACATTTTCTGAGGACATGGTCTGACGGAGCGATTGAAAAACTTTTTTGTTTCAGCGGTGACCTAGCATTTTTATGGCTTTATTGAAAGGACCATGAAATGTACTTTCTGCTGACATGCGAAGAGTAAGTGTCGGATAACCTTTTGACCCTCAAGAGGAGGGTTAAACATGGATTCCTGAACTGCCTCAATGATGTCACAGTGTTCTCATATTCATGGCACATCCATAATCTGGAAAGCCAATATGCCTTGATAGCCGAACGGCTACAGCACAGGATTACGGCTCAAAGGTCCTTGGATCGAATCCCATCAGATTTTTTATTATTTACCTGTTTTCTGTATTTTTCTATCTTTATAAATTTAACTATTTCTTTCTAATTAAGGTAAATATTTACATGATTTATTTACAACAATTTCATAACAACAAATAATTTTTACAACAATTAAATTATTATTTTTTTTAATAGGGTTAGGGTTAGGGTTGGAGTTTCAGGCACGCGATTTGTATCAACCAATGGGATTTGGGAGGTATGCAGAATGCAGAAGGTTGCTGAAATGATGTGTACGCAACTGCGTATCTGCATATCTGCGCCTAACAAAGGTGTCACTACGCACGACTTAAATGTTTCGTTTATAACCGTAGCAACAGACCTCAGATGAGCCCAGACGCTCTGCGGCTCTTGTTCGTATTAGAAGTGCATGATATTAGAGAGTAATTCTGGTAATATCATGCATTATTCATATGTATGCTGAATTGTTACTTAGAAATAATGGGTAGCAACACTCGTCATTGTGATAGGAAGCGCCTGAAATTTGCTGAGTTAGGATAACTGGCACAGATGATTTCATGACGGTAAAAATCTGTCAAACTTGTAATAAATATCTACATTTTTCACACAGTTTGGAGGCCTCAAAACAGGGGATCGAATAGTGGGAGTCGCAGAAACTGATACAAAGTGGTCTCGACACAATGAGGTTATTGACCTGCTGAAGGCCTGCGGAGATGTCCTTATTATCAGTAAGAATAATTAGTGTATTTTAGCATTTAATCTCGTTGTGAAGTGTCACCACGTATCCTGTAAAGGTCTTGTTCAGTACATGTTCTCATTGTTGCTGATCAAGCCATGAGTAATATCACGAAGCCGACGGGGTTCTATACATCGTCACTGCTACTTGACAATCCTCCTGATGTCATCATAATTGTTTATTCTGCATAGAGGTAGTAATCACTATTTCTTTGACAATCTCAAGATGTTATCGTGATCTCTACGCATACGTTAACGTAAGCATTTGCTGAGCAAATCCAGAGGTGTCATCCTGGTCTTTGTTGTCAGAATCATCGTAAGTTGTCATGACATCCTAAATCAAAAATATAACTTTTAAAATGGAGTGTTGTGCAATAATTATGACATTTTGGACTCATGTTAGTTGTTTGTCATAACTATTTATGATGTTCCTGACATCGTGCTTCTGATTGTCAAGCACATGAGAATGCCATTATGTGTTAAGATATATCTACATGTCATTACTGGAGCTGATCAAGTGAGTCTCGTGTGAGATATCAATGTAAATACTAAGCACAATTTCACATGATTACTATAGATACCAGAAGCTGGAGATGTCATCACATTTGATATGAAAAAAATCCAAAGATGCCATCAATATTGCAGAATCTTTCGCATGGCCATCATGATATCCATTCATGTTTTAAAAATGGCCATGCCCTGTGTTGAATCAGAAATGACTATAGACACATAGAGTAATCTTTTGCTATTCATTATGGTGGTCTCTGTACACAAAATGTTATAACACTCATGGATGAGTTACTCATGAGTTTTAGTAGTAGAAGTACTAATTTTTTTGTGATAAAATTGCAATGGTATTCCAATACTAATTGAGATATGCACTATCTGTGAGCATTTTCTGTGAACACGTTAGACAAGCATGCTTCTATTTTAGGAGTTGTATCACCAGCCAAGGATACCGTGGATGCTAAGCCAGTCACCAGCACATCAGTCAGTCTGCCTGTCACTCCAGTTAGCAAGCCAAGTGGGATTAATTCGGATTCCCGGTCGTTTAAGCATGCGAGCATCTTTACACTGGCAGGACTCAAGAAGCTGTCTCGGAAAGAGAAAGGACACCCACACATGTCGTCGCACAATTTTAAGACGCTATAGATGGACTCTACGTCTTACTGGCAATGGATAGATATGCGAATCAAAATTGCTGACGTGAGGAAGCAATTGGTGATTTATTCTCATTCATTCCCATTCTAGCAGTGATGCAGATCTAGATGACATTCTTAGTAGAGATATGCGACACCGTTGATGTACGATGACCAGAACTTTGTTAATCCATCGAAGCATACGTCGCGAATTAAGGGTGCGACTATTGTGATTTTCATGTGATATTTTTATTAAACAGCTGCCTCGAAATGTTATGTAAATACGTCTGGTTTAGTGATGCTATAAGTCATTAGTGTGTGTGTTTTTTAACCAAACATTTGAAAGCTAAAGGAAACATTCATTAAATGACAGGGGATGAAAGTTTTAATTACTGTTACATTTCTTTTTATTGAAATCAGATCACATAGAGCTGGTGTGTGATTAACCTCTACTTCACATACTACCACTACTTAAAAAGAAGTTGTCCATACTGGCCGCACTGTGATCGGTGACTCTTTGGTTTCCTTATTATTATATATTTATGAATTGTAACAACATATATCAATCTAGCGAATGCATTTTACTGCATAATATTTGCATATAATCCTATTAATTGAGAAATGGTTGTAGACATTGTTTTTAGTTAGATTTTTTATCTTTTTCCTCTGGGAAAAAATACTGCTTTCATTGCTGCAGTTATTATCAAGTCCACATACTGCCTATTGCCACCTAGTGCCTCGAAAGTGTTTTGGTGCCACGAGAAGTCTTGATTTTACTCTAATTGCAACTGTATTAGAATGTTCCTCTCGAGTGTAGAGTAATGTAATCTCATGTCTCCGTAGAGTAAGAGTGAGTCAAATTTTTGGTTGTATCAAACGTGCAATGAGTATTGAAGCAACGTAGGTCATTCATATCACTGTTATGCAATAGGTTTTGGTTGAGTAGATAATATACAGTATTACATCTATGTTTAGGATTATAATATAAGCCAATCAAGTTTTAAATTATTTATTTCCATGTTTGTTTTAGTGTATAGCGCCATAACAGTATTACTTATATTGTGTATTCTTTTCGTGGTGTTGTCATGTTATCATATTACTAAGCTACATAGTCTACTTTTTATTGATCTTGAGTGAGTATAACGTATAATTAATCGAATTTCGGGCCAACTGTTTATTTTATCTACGTCATCTTCTACGTTCTTTCTGACTCATGCATTCCAGCTCTAAATTTTCATAAGATTACACGATTTAATATCATTATCAATAACTTACACAAGCTCGTACTTACTATTGTATCCATAGTTATATAAACACGGATGTTTCATATTTATCATGTTTACCAATCATCTAAAGAATAGATTTATTTTTGCAGTGTAATGAAACATTCTCATCCCACCTTTCCTAAGAAAACTTCCTAGCAGGATATCTAGATACATATGTGTATCTCTCCTTTTTATATAATTTCAAATGATTGGGTTGTGTTTGATTTAGTTTTATTGACAATTATTTCATTAATAAATGCGTACGTATGTGTAAATATTACATTGCTGTATTTCTTACACGATATCTGAAGTGGCGCATCCAGGATTTCCATGAGTGGGTGGAAAACAGACGGGGGTTATAGGGGGCCTCCCCTCGGAAATTTTGAAAATGTAGATAGCAGGAGATGGTGTTTGAGGCACTTTTGAGCCATATACAGCCTTCATTCTGACTACGACAGTTCTCTTTTTAGCTCATCTGATATAGTCAGATGCAGCTTGTAGAATCGCATGATCGTCCGTCCGTCCGAGCGTCCGTCCGTCCGTCCGTCAACAGTTGGGCACAAATCTTAACCGCTCGACGTACGGTCACGATATTCAGGACGTGGGGGGGTAATCCGAAAACGAGTTAGGATGTCGAAGCTGGGGGTCAAAGCGTCTAAAGGTCAAGAGCTGTAAGAAGAAGGGAAGATCACTCCCTTACTCTAAGATATAGCGAGAATGCAGCAATATGCGCACAAATCTATAAACGCTCGACTAGGCTCGCGTATAGTTGTGTGATAGCATCATGTAGAAAAGCCATCACCGTGCTGAAATTGGAGCGTCACAGGTCAATGCGGCACAGGGAATTCTTAGACATTTTCTGAGGACATATGTGACGCGAGCCGATGTGAGCAAAACTTTTTGTTTCAGCGGTGAACCTAAGCATTTTTATGAGCTTTATGAAAGACCATGAAGTATGCTTTCCACTGACATGCGCATAGAGTACATGTCGGATAACCTTTTGACCCTCAAGAGGAGGGTTAAACACTTGCATTTGTTGATGTTAACAAAGACTGAACTGCCCCTTTTGCTATTATTAAAGCCCAACCTGCCTGTCATGTGAGGCTACAGTCTGCACAGATTAATTGCCAAAGCAAATGTTTGTTGAACAAGCGTTTAGCCTCCTAAAATCATATGAATTTCTCTAAACAAGTGTCTATTACCACCCGTGCCCCCTAGGGCCTGAAGCTAAATGATGAATCAGTGAATGCTCGGCATGCAGGCAACAAACACAGCCAGCCTGGCTTGGCACGCCCTCTCTAATCACTAATTGTGTCTGCGCCAACCTGCAATGCCACCTGTTAACTCACAGCTGAGCAACTGCTCTGAATATACTTACTTGGATTTTAGCCTGTACCTAACGTGGCATTTCAGACGATAGCCATCTTTTGATATGATTATCACCTTTCACGCGCCATTCTTCACCAAAACTATAGCCTATTTAAATTAGATTTTATTCTTATGTAACTGTTAACGAAATAATAATAACTAGCCTACCATATAATATATAAATATTTACTTCTCCATCTTGCAATCTTAACATATATCATTAATCTTTGCGTGCGTAATCCATTTACCAGCTTTGCTGCGAACATAAAGCTGTTACCATAGAAATATTAAGACAACTATATATTAGACTTTTCTATGACGGCCTTACACTCAGGCCATAGCGAAGAAAGCATTATGAGGCAGACATAAAAGCATCATCGCCGGGTTTTATTTTTTTTTATATAATTAAGAGAGAGAAAGTCTTAAGATGAGGGGCGAACGGGGGGTACAATTCCCACTTTTCAGCCAAAAAACACCCATATCCAGTTCCCAGTAAAATAAAAAGTCCCAATCCAGCTTCAGGAAATTACTGTAAGACTATTCAGAGAAATCAGAGCTTTAGTTTTCAACCACTACATAAAATACTAATATTTACATAGTATATTATCTGCCCATAATTAATAAAAAAAATTAAAAAAAAAATATTTAAAAAATATTACGCAAAATTGAAATTCCAACGAATTGACACAATTTTCAGCATCCCAACAATCTTTAGATGAGTTTTCCCACGTCACGATGGACTCTATTCCGTATCACGAAAATTTATCTGACATTTCCAGTTCCAGTAATTATAAAATGCCCAATCCCGCGTCCTCAAACAATACCCGTTCCCCCCCTAGATAAAGAGAAGAGAAGAGAGTAGTAATTGCAGTACGCGGACAGGAAAACCTATACGGTGTGTATTGCGGCGAACGGGTACAATTACGTCGTGCGAGATGTGTAGCAAAAGCGGATGAGGTGGATGCGCAGGGGGAGAGAGCGTCGAAGGCAGGGAGAGGGGAGCATCGGAGGTAAAGGGGGAATGAGAGCAAGGGAGCTTAAGTGCGCAGCAGCGGGAGGAAGGCGAGAAGACTCCGCCCCCTCTAATAATACTTGGCCGAGATCCATGCTCATATTTGAAAAAATCTTTTATCAGATAGATAAACATAGATGCTGAATCTATACACAAATTCGAAGTGAAACGCAAGTATCATTTAATAAAATTAAACAAAATCGCATGGCGGAGCATAGTGCAGGTGTCCTAAACAATGATGTGTACGCAACTGCGATATTCTCCATATCTTGGCCTAACAACATGCTGTCATACGCACTACTGGAAATTGTACGTCATAACCGTAGCACAGCACCCAGATGAGCCCAGACGTCTGCGCCTCTTGTAGCTAGAAACAATTATTGCCGCTGCAGCGCGCATTGATTGATGTACAGGGGGCGGCGGTATTACTTGATATGTAGGTTGACCACGCTGGATGAGGGCGACAGCCAAAACTCTTTCTTGGAATTGCTGAAAAACGTGCCAACACGCTTGTAACTGCTTGCCACTCAATTAACATAATTTACGCCCATGCACAGCGCGCGACTATATATACTTGGCAGATAATTAATTGGTTACTTGTGCTAATATGTTAGTCAACACAGAGTGTGGCTAAGCACCCAATCCCCCCCCCCCTGAATCCCCAGTTGTGTGTCTGTGCGTTGCCCGTGCGTGCGTGCGTGCGTACGTGCGTGCTTGCGTGCGTGTGTGTGGGCGAGTTTTTGCTTTGACGCAACACGCAGCTGGAGAAAACAATGAAAGGTCTGGTCAGTGTACACAGCTGCCCTCTCCCCCCTAGTGCTGCGTACAAAGACTTGCTGATTACTAAAGTTCCAAGTCTGTATGCGCGTACAAAATGCATCCGGGGTTAATATTGACAAATATTTGTCATTATTCACCCCTGAATGCATGAATGCTTGTGTATATTCCGCATGCGCGTGTCAAACCATATCCTCCAGAAATGTTTGAAATCTCTGACACACCTGTGACCTCCACATTTGTGCCCCAATTCCGTATTTCCCCAACATGGGTTCTATAGTTAGGGGCAATATTCACCCCTTCCTTCCCCATTTTATAATCTTTGACCGTTGACATCCAGTTTTGACCTTCCATGTCTTTTTGGATTGCTCCCCCCCCCCACACGTCCCGAATATCAAGACCGTATACGTACGTCAAGCCTGTCTTTGTTAACAGTAACATCAATGTTTAACCCTCTTCTTTACGGTAATGTTCGCACACCACTGGAACATAAAAGTTTTTTTTTTACTTTTGTCCGTCAGACCATGGATGTCCCTCAGAGAATGTCTCAAAATATGTCCTTTGCCAAACTGCCCTCTGACCTGTGACCTAAAAATTTTGCGACGTTATGGCTTTTCTCACCATGACGCTACATAACCAAATTGCCATATTCTACAAGCTGCACCTGGCTGCGTGAGATAAGCTAAAAAAAAAACTAGCGTCGAGTAACTCGAGTTCACCTTCTCGCTCTTCTACGTGAAATAGTCGTGCAGCCGGGTCGGGCTGGGAGTCGGGTAAACTTAGAGAGAACTGTTGGGCGTTCTAAGCGTATTTGCGTTCTGGGCGTTCTAGTATAAAGTGAAGCAATTAAGGATCGAGGTAATTAGAGAGCCGGTAGTGAGTGTCTTTGTAGGTTCTGCTGAAAAACGTTGCCTGGTAGACTGAATTTACTGATAAAATAACATTTTATGAGAATTATTAGTGTAGTGTTTGTGTGTGTGTGTGTGCTGTGTGTGGTGTGTTGTGTTTGTGTGTGTGTGTGTTTGTGTGTGTCGTCGTGTGTGTGTGTGTCACGGTGTGTGCGTGTGGTGTTTGTGTTGTGTGTGTGTGTGCACGCGCGTGTGTCGCGTGCGTGTGTTGTGTGATGGTGTGTGTGTGTTGTGTCTGTGCTGTGTGTGTGTGTTAGTTCCGTGCGTGTGTGTGTCGTGTTCGGGGGGGGCTACTCCGCCATTAGTGACGGATATACTTATTATACGCCGCATTATTGCCCCCATTTTTCGTTTTCCTTGCCATCATTTTGCTCCCAAAATTTTGTCCTAGCCATCTTTTTGCCCCCCCATTTTTTTACCTAGTGTTTGTGCACAGAAGTGTGTGTGTGCGCGCGCGTGCGTGCGTGCGTGTGTGTGTGTGAGCGAACGAGAGAGAGAGAGAGAGTAGTGTGTGGGGGGGGGGCGTGTGTACGTGTGTGCGTGCGTGCGTGGCACTGGGTATGTGTCTACACGCGCTCTATGGCAAGGCCTATACTAGATAAACAGATAAACATGTTTATTTATAGGCCTTGCTTATGCCTTGCGCTACTCTATGCTATGGTATGGCCAGGCCAGCTAGAGCATATAAAGCAACTTGATTTATAATTTTATATGCTCTGGTATGGCACAATAAATTAAGCCGGCATGTAACTATTATCTATGACACCGATAATATCTCGCGAGTTTTCTGGTGGCGTTTGTTTTTTACATACTCTGAGCATATAAACATATAAGTTATAACTTTTGCTATAACTACATAATAAGAAGAGGTATCGACACAAGGTAAAGTGTGAGGGCAAGTGGAATGTGCAATGCTACTTTTGATGTCATTTTTATTGAGTTTCACCTAATAAATCATAGGTTAAAACTAGGGCACGGAAATGTTGATTTTCGTGTTTCGACTAATGTAAACAGTGAGTAGGATCATATAATATACTGACTACTGTTACTGATATAGGCCTACATCTACAATAATATAACCCAACAAGAGTAGGGTATATATTAATGTTTATATATATATATATATATGTTTCCACATCCTTGTACGCACTACATCATGCATTTCAGTTTTCCTGGAGTTTCACTGGAATGCCACTGGAAGTATTGTGCTGATCTCAGAATGCAGAGGGCAGCACGAATGAAGCGAGAGTTGGAGATGTTTGTAAATAGACCACCCCATGGTATCTCATGTTGGCCAATAGGTGACAGCCTGGAAACTCTCGAGGCTCGTAAGTATATTAATTAATTGAATATATTGTGTTAATTTTCATCGATCATTATAAACTACTTCGCTTGCTAACGTGATGCTTTTCTTCGCACTTCTAGAGATTATAGGAGGAGAACATACACCATATGCTAAAGGAATGTTCAAGTTATCCATAAATGTACCGGAGAGGTAAAATATATTTTTAATCATTATATTGTGTCATATAAGTGCGTTAAGTTATGCTTGACTTTTTTTCTGAAGATTATAATGAATCTTGAAGTTATATATTGTTTGCAAAATACCAATAATGTTCGTACCATTTATAACAGATATCCGTTTGAGCCACCAAAGATTCAGTTCACCACACCAATCTATCATCCTAACATTGATACAGCTGGAAGAATATGTCTAGATATATTGAAGATGCCACCAAAGGTAATTTCTAGCAAAATTCTTATAACGATGAGTGCTTGGATAACTGGTACATTGTTTTCAGGTATGTAACAGCCAGTAGCGGTACAAGTTCTTCTCTAGCTGATAATTGGTGTACAATATGAACCCAGTGCCCTCAAAGATATTGCCCCTGTTGACTGCAGGTAATTTTTTTTGGCAGGGGGCATGGAAACCTTCGTTGAACCTCTCTACTGTGCTAACATCCATCCAGCTGCTGATGGCAGAACCAAATCCTGATGACCCTCTCATGGCAGAGATTGTAAGTGCATTAAATCCAACAGCACTCTCAACTGTCTGTTCTCTCCATGAATCCTAATATAGCTAATTCCTCCATCAACTCTATACCAACCCTATAGCTATAGTTCCTCCATCAACTCTATACCAACCCTATAGCTATAGTTCCTCCATCAACTCTATACCAACCCTATACTCATGGGTGTATGCAAGGGGGGTCGTCAGGGTCGTACGACCCCCCAAAAATTTCAAAGGTCCACATTTTTTCCAAAGACATTTTTTTCGAGGGCCTTTTCACGATGACATAAATGAAAAAGCATAATTGATCAGGTACCAGCAATGAGTCCAAAGACCTTGCCAATGCGTGACGCAAATCTATCCCAATTCCAGCAATTCTGAAACTGAGCCTTTTTTTAAACACATTTTTTGTTAAAAAAAACTGAGTTCAAAAAAAGAGACAAAGACTGACAAAGACAAAGACAAAGACAAGACAAAATCAAGACAAAGACGAGATAAACAGTTCAAAAGACTGTTTTCAATTGAGTCAGAAAACTTGTTAAAAAAATGATCAAAAACTTCAAATTTTTGTTTTAAAAAACTGACAATTTTTTTTTGGAAACAAAATTTTTTGGTTTTAATTAAATTGTAATGACATTTTAATCACATCTTGCTGTTATTTCATTGTTGAAAGGTCCAAAAATTATGATCACGACCCACCCAGAAAAAATCCTGGATACACCCCTGTAGCTAGTTCCTCCATCAACTCTATACCAACCCTATAGCTAGTTCCTTCATCAACTCTATACCAACCCTATAGCTAGTTCCTTCATCAACTCTATACCAACCCTATAGCTAGTTCCTTCATCAACTCTGTACCAACCCGATTTCAACAGCATGTTGTACCGATTTCCTGGCATCAGAACAAGTGTAGCTACGTTAGTCAGAGTTCTCTATTGTGAATTGTGTATAATTAGCATCTCTACACTGGGAAATCTTGTCTTGCTGAGCCATAATGAATGATGGGGTCGAACTAGACAACTTTTTAACTTTAAGTGATAATGGCAAGATATGAGTTGATTTAGTGTGACACATAGCATTACGGTTGCTTGAAATGCATGCCATGATTTGTTTATATGTAACGTGTTCACAGTCAGAAGAGTTCAAGTACAATCGGCAACTTTTCATTGAGAATGCACAGAGCTGGACCAGGAAGCATGCCATGCCAGCTGAGCAGGTAAGGGGTTGGATTCAAATAATTCTTATGGGTCACGCAAGCATAATCTGCCACTATGTTTTAAAAATACAATATATTTTGTAAAGGTTCACGTATCGACCTTCTTAATTATAGATTGCAGCACGGAGCACAGGTGAACACCAAAAGAGACAAAGCACAGATCCTATTGGTAGTGAATCAAAGGTCCAAAAAGTTTAAAGCTGATAGCTTGGGTAGATTATGACATGTAATAGATTACTATCAAACCTGTGTATATTGTTAGTTAATTGTACAGAGAAGCATCATATTATTCCATACAATTTATGTGTGAAAAATGTCAATATGCAAATGTGAAAATGTGTATGTAAACACACATGTATGAAAGTATAAACGAATATATTTAATATATAACAATTAAATATATATATATTGATATTTTTAGCAATGTATTAAAAACAGTTTGCGCTGACCACATTATCACGAGAAGAAATGAAATTCTTTAAAACAACTGTCATTCCTCTTCAACACTAGCTATTTCTAGACTCAACTTGCCATATCACAAATGGAAAACGTTCTTACATGTAAGAAAATGTAATAACCACCCGTTCCAGTTCAACAGTTGTAATTATGTGTGTCATTTATAAGACACATAGTTAACAATTTTGTACAGCCAAAAAGAAATACTAAAAAATTCTATACATAATCTGGCTATATTTCACTATCACAGTTTCTTAGTAATCTGTTGTCATTAATAGATCTGAGAAAACAAACTTAAAGTCCTATACATTCTAGGTACCCTGTTCTGGTTATAAGAGATAATTCTACTTTATTACTAAACTTGTAGCATATGCTGTTACAATAGGCATTCCATGTCAGTATTATTGTATAATTTCCTGACCTCCATGTCATAATTTAGAATGCCACTATTATTTACACTTATAGATTTTTGAAATGCTCTAAAAATAACTGTCACTGATATGACTATGGGTTTGGAAAAATGGTCACCTTACAATACTGTCAGACCCATAAATCAGGAACGTTACTTGCAGGTCATGTTTTGGTTGCATGCGAATTATTTTTCTCGCTTATATATCATGTGCGCAAAGTCTAGGAAGATCTGGCGAGGGAGGGTCGTACATTCGTGCTCTATGAGTGATATGATAGTGCGGTAGCTTTGTTCTTCATAGTCAGCATATGCTTGTTTCAGTTGCAGCTCTTCATATAGATCCTTCACCCTGGCTAGACATGCCGCATCAGTTTTGCCATAGTCATTCTGCAACATCACATTAATGAATTAAACCTCTATAATCGATTAACTGTGATTTTGCACTATGTCACAAAAACTTCCGACTCTGTTATCCACACTGTAAAAGTGCATTTAAAATATGTAGTAATGTCCAAGTACTTTCTATAGCAGCTTCATCCTTTTTCGGACTCATGGGTGCACCCACAAAATCCTATGCCCAATAATTGGCAAAAGTGCCAACATACCGAGCAGCGGAGCTAAGAGAACACATATATAGAGGATCACATGACAGTGGTTTTGTCAATATGCTTTTAATTAAAAATTATGTAAAAACCAACATCTAAATTGATTATATTGCAACATAGGAAACCAGTTGCACATAATAGGATTACTATTTGCCTACCTGGAGCATTTGCTTTTGTTCTGCAGTGGCTTTTGCTAGTGCCTGTACGACTAGCCAACTACATTTGTTGTCCTCAATATCACTACCAATTTTCCCAGTAACCGCTGGGTCACCATAGCAGTCCAAGAAATCGTCCTATGCAGAGAGAAATTAGATTAGTGGATTTTTTTTACATAATGTAAACTCCATTTAGATATCATAATATGTAAACTCTTTTGTTCTACCCTGTTGTAATCAGTCCTGATTCACTCACCTGCACTTGGAAAAAGTGTCCCATCTCTAGCAGTATCTTTTGTGCAATGGAATGTGATGCCTCATCACATATACCTGCCTGTTACAAAATTGCAATGCAACAAATTATTAGTAAAATGTTGGGAGCAGATATCCAGTGCATATAGTACTTGGGTATATACACTAAGCTGTATCTGCCATTACACATCATTACACAAGCGATTTATCCTATACAGCCGTTCAGGTCTCACTGAATTATATATATATATATATATATATATATATATATATATATATATATAAAATATGTAGCAAAACAACTTTTGACTTTTCTTCAGAAATTAAGGCAGGCTATGAACATAACTGCAGCACAGCACATAATGCTGAACTCATAATATAGTCATATCTGTTAGGATCAATGTAAGATCTGTGTGCAGCAGCGCTCGCCGCATGGCTCACCAGGTGCAGTGCCAATGCGACAGGCAAATGGAAGGAGTAGAACGCCGTCTTGTACTTGACGATGGCGGAGTATCGTTGTGTCGTGAAGCGCGACAAGTTAACACGCTTCTCGACGGGCGAGGCCGTGCACACGTCCAGGCATTGACCATGAACCGTGCGGGACGTCGTCTGTCGTTACAGCAAAACAGGCACAGATTATATCATTATTAATAATATAAAATTATCTTAATATTATATAATATTATCATTCCTTACCTTATCCTCTTGGTCTCCCGATGGGACATAAGGCCATAAATATTATCATTCATAAGGTTATTAATATATTTAATATTGCAAATTATTAGGCAGTTTCTCTAGGTGGTGTCTCCTTGCTGTCGTTGCTTTCTTCTGGCAATACTTCGAGAATAAATTAACAGGAAAATAACTTCTGCCCATTCTGGAAATATTCCAACTGATAAAGATAAGTTACCTCATGAAACAAGTCAATTATGTCAATGTAGCATGGTCTGCCACGTAGATATTTCTTAAGCAGAGCATATATGCATGTCTCAAGGTAGATGGCATCGTTTATTGCTATAGAGCCAACATTTTCCTGGAAGAAAAATACATATATTTGTATTCATACACTTGATAACAATAACCATGTGTTTCTGTGGGAACATTAAAACTTCAATGGCAATTTGGTGTTGGATATACGAGTTCCATTCTCATTGGATTTATAACACTATTATATGGAACCTTTAGATATACATTCATACCTTGAATAACTAATTACCTTTTTATACCAGCACGGCCGCCCACGTCGAGTCTCTGATGAATCCATGATATCATCAGACACAAGAAAATATGCCTGTAACTATAAACAATTAAAATTAGAACAGTGTATGAAACTCTAGTTCACACATCATCTAGTTCATTTTCACACATACTTATTCCCACTTGTCTATAATATCCCAGAACAGTTTCTACATTTATTGCTGCATCTCTATACGATTCTCCATCTGCCCAATTTTTTTTCAGTCAAAGGTTGGAATACGACCATGTAAAACATTTACCATACATGATACAAGCATTATGCTATGCAAAGTTTTCTATAGATTACCTATTGTATTGCATCAACAAGAGCCGCAGAGCGACTGGGCTCATCTGAGGTCTGTTGCTACGGTTATAAACGTAACATTTCAGTCGTGCGTAGTGACACCTTTGTTAGGCGCAGATATGCAGATACGCAGTTGCGTACACATCATTTCAGCAAACATTTTTTTTATTGCAGAGAGAGAGAGCGAGAGAGGGAGAGAGAGAGAGAGAGAGAGAGAGAGAGAGAGAGAGAGAGAGAGAGCGGGCGAGAGGAGAGAGAGGGAGAGAGTCAGTCAGACTAAATTGTTTATAAACAAATAACACCCACGCGGCGCGCTACTCCAAGGACAGTACAAAACTGGCAAATTTTCATTGGTAGGTTTGATGATTCATTTCTGCAATTACGTATCTCAAGATTGGTTAAACTGAAGTTAAGAAAGTAATTCTTTCTGCACTTTTGAGCGCAATATACATTTGACTTATCCTGCCGGGACATTCTTCTCACTCTGTTCCGATAGATGGTGTGCATACTGACTAGGTGCATGGAATAGATAATCCGAACTAGTTGCTACCTTCGTTTAGCCCATGCTGTATGTATGTATGTGTGTCATTTAGCACCTGCGAGGTAGGCCTATTTATAGTTGGCCTTAATCAAAAACAGACGTTTGCGTAAGTGCTATTGACATTGTATTCCCAACGTACAGAATCTCATATAGAGAATGAAGTTCATATATGATTTAAGGCACGTAAACGTTGTTCAAGTAAGTTTTGCATGCAGAATTTCACTGTGAAATTTAAGTCTTCCACGATCACACAAGTACCATCAAACACAGTTCAGTCCTTTGTTAACAGTCAACAAATCCATGTTTAACCCTCCTCTTGTGGGTCAAAAGGTTATTAGACACTTACTCTTCGCACGTCAGTGGAAAGCACATTTCATGGTCCTTTCAATAAAGTGATAAAAATGGTAGGTAAGCGCTGAAACAAAAAAGTTTTCCACTCTGTCCATTAGGCCATGACCTCAGAAAATGTCTGATATCTGACCTTTCCCCCACTGCCCTTTGACCTGTGACCTCCAATTTCGCACTGGTGATGGGTTTCCTGCCCATCACACTATACACCGAATATTAAGAGCATAGGTCGAGCCGTTCAGATTTGTGCCGCAATTCCATATTTCCTCCTATACCTTAAGTTAAGGAGGAAATATTCCACCTCTTTGTGTCATTGACACAAGTTGACACATCTTGACCTTTGACCCTTGACCCCCAAATTGGTCATCCCGAGTCTTTTTCACGATCCCCCGAATATCGTGACCGTACGTCGAGCGGTTAAGATTTGTGCCTAACTGTTGACAGACACACGGACACAAGGATCACGGACGGACGCTCATGCGATTCTACAAGCTGCATCTAACTTTGTCAGATGAGCTAAAAATTAATAATAGCATAGAGATGATACATCACAGCTTACCAGTTCGACACACCATCCAAGCACTCTGGCTATTGTCAGGTTTTCTTCCGTAAGTTCTTCTGGTTTGACAAGACATCTTTAATGACATAAACCCCATATAAATATATACATTAATAGAAAAGGAAGCTCTCAACAATCCGATAGGGTCATAAGCTAGTGTATTTATATGGCAAATAATCACCCCCATGCAGTATATACACTAAAATGCCATAATATCAAGAGCGTATAAAGAAGGAGAGCGTACAACCGTGAAATGCTGAAACCATGTTGCAGTATTAGTCAAATTAATAAACTTTCCCCGTTTTATTTTGATGATTCTTTGCAGTATTATTGATCAGCTGTCCTACCTTGCTAATATAAAACAAACCGCTTGTCCCTACGATGCTCCTACGCTGAGATAATGAGCGGTGAAAATCTGGTATTTTCGCCGAAAACCGACTCGGAAAACCTCGCGTGTTTCCGTCATTCATTGACAATGAAATTTATTTTCCTTCTACTATCTTTTCTCGCATTCCCAGTCATTGACGCAGCCATTACTCCACAAAAACGTCTTGTTATTTATTGCCATGGTGATGACCCGCCCCTTATGCTGGATGTAGTAACGCGGTAGTAATAACGTATCGAGTCAGCGCTGCACAGTGGCGACCGGAAGCAACATACAGTGCACAAAACGAGAGACAGTCGCAGTACTGACTGATCTGGAGTCGGTTTTCGGCGAAAATACCAGATTTTCACCGCTCATTATCTCAGTGTAGAGGCATCGTAGGGACATGCGATTTGTTTTATATTAACAAGGCTGGGACAAGCTGATCAAATAATACTGCAAAGAATCGTCAAAATAAAACGGGGAAAGTTTATTAATTCGACTAATACTGCAACATGGTTTCAGCATTGCACCGTTGTACGCTCTCCTTCTTTATACACTCTTGATAATATTACACAATTTACATAATGAATTAAATGCAACAGTACTTATACATGTCAGTCTACAAGTATACATACCTATAAGATTTCACAACAGCCAGACCTCTGTTTTTCTTACCATGGGAGTATATATCTAAGTACCTATTAAGCACAACACAAAGTGCAACTATTAGTAATTTTCAGATGAACATATCTATACTACTATGTATATGTTCATGATTTTACAAAATTGCTCTTATTAAAGGTTATGGAGATATTCAATCAGGAGAAAAGACATAACAAAATATGTAAGGCATATCATTAGCACTCTAACTATGACTCTAAACTATACTTTTGAAATCAGTGGTGTCACACAATAGCGCACGCACGCACGCACGCACGCACGCACGCACACACACACACACACATATATATAGAGAGAGTCTATTATGTACTCTTGATATATATACCTCTCTAAACCAGTTAACAGCATCCAGTATTTCAGGTGAACTGACATCATCTGTCAGCTCTTTGACCAGCTGTGGAAATAAGGCATCAAAGTAGGCCAGCTCATCTCCAATAACCTTGTTCTTTTTCTTTAATGGACTCTCGGATGCCATAGCTGCGTGGGAAAAACAGTGCTGCCTAAAACAAAAAAATACAACGCAAGGCATTTATTCTTTTTTCAGCTTTTCTTTTATTTCCAATGCCCGTAAACAGAGATTAAAAGTTCAACGTGCATGCACAGCAACATTCATTGTTCCTGTTTTTTTTGCTGAACTGTTGTTGTTTTATTATCGTCATTATTATTGTTGTCGTCCTAATTGCTACGGGAATGAAAATGGATAAAAATGTAGTTTTTGGTTAAACTCATTTCATAACAAATTCCCACTACGAAAGCCTTCACTATTTTCATTCAGAGCTCACCCTGAATAGCAGTCATGGTTAAACTACGTGTGTTTTCCATACATTTCATGCACTTTATAAAATTCGCTCTACCTTCTTTGGTTTTTCTATGGCTGTGATTGGAACGAATAAGGCAGTCAACTTGTTTGGCACACTTTAGAGAAGACTACTCTAACCTGAAGAATATTGGCAGTGGCATCGTTGCAGATATATTGAACTTCCTCCCAAACAGCAATTTATTCGTACGATGAACAAACTGGCACAATCCTACCTCAAACAGAAATCGTTGCGCCATCCACTGACTGTCAAGAAACGATAGCATTTCACTTGCATTTTACAAATGAAAATCATGCAGAATAAATATAAATAAAATTGTAATCAAATATGTACATTTGATTTGTCATCTTTTCATCATGCAATTCTGCTACACAACGAATATAAAACAATTTGAAAAAAAAACATGTTATCACTTTTACTGACCTTATTTTATTTAATTGATTCATGTTATTTTATTTTTTCAAGCTTACAAGTGTATAGGGTGCTAGCTGTGGCTGTGGCTGCTGCAGGTGGCTCAAAACTAATAAATAAAATATAAACAGAAGTGTTTGCTAAATAGCTAAAATTATACATCACCACAGGCAGTACTTTTAAAAAGAGAAGCGAGATACGTAAATATTCCATGTTTGTATGATTCATTTATAAGAACAACAATTCATACTAGTATTAAGCAACTGATATTTCCATTAAACTAAAAGTATGGGATTCAAGGTGACAAGGTTCATTCCAATAACTATAAATTATGAATTTAAAATTAATGAAATAACAAATACACACATTTCAAATTTAAAAAAAATTGCAATGGTTTCATGAATTACAATATTTAATTAACAAGTTCAGTCACAAAGGTGCAAATTTATTGTCTTTGGTCAGCCCCAGCCCCAGCCCAGGTTATTGCGGATTGCTGCCCCATAATGTCTTTGTATCCTCCATGCAGCCTTCTTAGTGAGTTTTCCTATGCCACCTATTCCTTTGTATGTTTTGCCATTGTGCTGGTATGTTTTGTTTTTACATTGAGTGATTTTCTCAGTCAGCCGACGTCCCATTCGTTTTTGGACATGTCCACAGCACTTGAGTTTCCTGATTGTCGTCCCAGTGTAGACAGGAGGATCTGAAGCAGCTATCTGGGAATAACTTTTAGTCTCCATCTCCTAGATAGCCTGTGCACTGTAAACTGTGTTTATCCTGTGATCTACTGTAGATCGCTTTCCCACCAGCTGATTCCATTGCCCCTGCAGATCCGTTATGACTTTTTGAGCATGTGTCCTTGTGTGTTTCGTACCACTGGTCAAATTCTGCATCAGACTTGCATTTCTTCCTTTTCATTGAACAAGTCCCACAATAATTGCTTCTAGAGTCTCACAATCCAGAACTTTACATTGTTTGTCGTTCACAGATAAACAGGTCACAACACCGTTTTTACTTTGGAAGCCCTTCCTCTGCCATGTCCCATCGAACGACACCACAGACTCTGTCATGGTAGTAGGTCCGTCATGCGTACGTGCCACGTTTCGACTAACCTCCTGACCCCGCGCTGCCCGTGGCGACGGCACGTCGTGCGAGCACCTGCGCTGGCGTGGCCGGCGTGGCTGGCGTGGCAAACCAGCAGCAGCACCAAATACTGGTCCCTGCTAGCTGCTGCAGCGCGGCTCTGGAGCAGCAAAGCAGCAGCAGCAGGAAATGCCCTCCCCCCAAGGCCGCCGTTGTCAAGCCGGTGTACGTCTCACGAAAACTGCGCGATGTTACGCTTCCCGCTATACGGATTCGCGCGCCCGCTCTCCTTCAGTGCGCGAATTCGTATAGCGGGCAGCGCGAGATGCTACATACAACACCCGCGGTCGCGTGCGCCCAGTCCCGCGGAAGTGCGCGGCTTAACCGCTCTCGGCGGTCGGGGAATAACGCATCTTTTGCGCAACGCCATCTTGTACCCGGTCTTTCTGGACATGCTGATATCGGCGTATAAGGCTGCGGGACTATTCGGCCTATAGCCCTATTATAGTACTAGTAGTAGTACTAGTACTAGTAGTAGTACGTAGTACAGAACAGAAGTGGATTTGATTACCTGGGCACGATTTTGTCAATTTTGCAAATTCGGCAAATATTTTAAATAGAGGATCAATCACCTTTCCGTCTTCGTTATAGTTCCTTGATCTTTGAAGGCTACTATTTACGAGATTACAAGGTTATCGTATAATTACGAGAGTTTCAGCCCAGAACTGCACACCTCGCTGCACACTATCGTACATCGCCCATGCATCGCCTGATCTCAGCATAGACTGGCTCTAGAGCGTTTCACTGTGTGGAGATCAATACCATAATACAGGGTACAAAGCCCATCTATATTTTAATATATTGAACTTTGACCTGTATTTTGCAGCGCCCTCTCCGGTTAGCAAATCATGTCAGCGCCCATGTCGAAGTATTCGCGTATAAATTTGCTTGTTACACATAAATTATAATACTTGTTATACCACTCTTAATAATTAGAGTTAGTAATAGTTTGGACGCATTTGAATGTAAATACAGGTAACTTGCTTACATGTGGTCGGTACAAGGTGCCTTACCGGTACATTATCGAAACATGAATGTATGAATTATGTGAAACCAGACAGCACTGCACTGTGACTGTCAATCTGAACATGCTCTCTATCCTTGAACCCTGGCGGCTGTACAGTCAGTAACACAGTACGGCGTGTACAGTACAGTACTACATTAATTAGGCCTACCTGTGTGCCGCACGAGTAGAGCGAGTTCTACATGGTGTAGTACTAGTACTAGTAGTATGCAAGAACCCGCCGTACGTATATCGATAGACCAATAAATTGTGCCCTAGAACTGACGCGATCCGAAGGTTATTTATGATTGATAAATTTATTCTTCAATATTGTTTTATTGTTCTATTTTGTGTTTCAGAGACTCTAAAGGCACATATATGATATAAAAACACACTGCAGCAATGTCAGGAAGAAGGTCGAGAATCAGTGTGCGGCCAAACTTGGCGAGGCCTGGCGCTAGAACAGAAGCAAAGGTCGAGAAGACCGACAGCAGCACTGCAGCTAATGCTCAGCAATCCGCTGATGGTAACGAGCCACAGGAATCAAACAATGCGAAGCCGGCTGTAGCGACGAGGCGCTCACGTATAAGCGTGAAACCTAACATCGCCAGCAAACCTGTGATGCCTAAGGAGCAGCCCGTTGCCACGACGACGCCTGCGTCAAATTCGCCTGCACAGAGTGCGGCAGTCTTGACAAGAGTGGCGAGATGTGCTACTAGGGCTAGCTTCAACAAGGAAAGCAGTGAGGAAACCCTCCCGGCTACCTCAGAAAATGTAATCGCTGTTCAGGAAGCCGAGGAAACAACGTCGCAAGAGGCGAGCACTTCGAACAGCGACACCAGCGTCGTGTCTAAAGGTTTGGTTACAAACTCCCATGCACAGCCCCCCTCTAAGGCTGGAACTCGTAGCACTGTGGCTGAAACGGTAACCCCTGGGAAGGCAGCCAACAAGGAACTGTGTGCAAGCACAAACGAAAGCAGTGCACTGAGTTGCGATAATGTAGATAATCGGAGGCCTGCGCTCACCGCAAGAAGGGCTCGAGTTAGCGCTAGGCCGAATCTTGTCCCAAAAGTCACGCAGCCTGTGGTGCAAAAGAAAATCACAGGAAGGCAAGGTAGCAATGCAAGACCAGCCGAGGCAGAGACTCCGCCACTTGCACCTTCGCAAAATGCCGATCAAGCGCGAAACACAGAGCGTGAACCTCAAGTCAGCAGTGCAGAAGTTGTCATCCCTCCTTCTCGAGCGGCAGCAACTTTTGTAGTGCCGTCGTCGTTGCACATACCCTCCGCTGGCAGCGTTGAACAGCACTCTGCGACCGCAGACGCTAGCCACGCGACGTGCGAATCACAACAAAGCAAGTTAGCTGATGAGCATGGGAAGATGGATAGAATGGCAGCTGTACGATCGAGACACAAGTTCCGTCCAAATTTGTTAGAAGCAGCTAGAGCGAGAAAACGTCATCTGTCCGCGAGCTGCAGTGAGTCGGAAACGGAAGACGTGCTTGGCAGACAGCCACCTTCAACGCAACGCACCACGGGCCTCACACTGAGGTAGGTGGGGTACCTGTATGTGGGAAGTTCTTCTTATTATTCCCACAAACTTCCTCAACGAGTAGCTTATTTCTTTCAAATTTCAATGAAATGTGTTACACATTTTCTATAATGAGATGGTTTTTATTGACTTAAAATTTAAATATAGTGTGAACACAGTGGCGATCTGTGGTAGCAGACGTCCAGATGGATATGGCACCCTGATGACGATGATGATGATGATGATGATGATGATGATGATGATGATGATGATGATGATGATTGATAATGATGATGAAACATAGTGTATCAGTTCGTGATGAAATACGATTCGGTTTCTATGCAGACATTAGTGTGTGTGTGTGTGTGTGTGTCTTTCCAGCATTCCATCACCGTCTCAAGTTGGGAGGGATGAGCACGCCGTGGCAAACAGAGTAGCAACCCCATCCACACCTCAGCCTTCAGCCACCCCTAGCAGCAGCGAACAATCTACACACACTGCAAGAGAGCGCAGAACAAGCGTTCTGGATATAGAGAGTGTAATATTTCCAGGCATCTGTAAAATGGTTGAGGAGATTAATATAGTTTGTACTTTGGTCATTTGTATTCTTTTAATGTTGTTTGCATCAAACAGTAAAAAATTAGGTTGCTGGAACAAGAATGTAGGAATGTTTTGAAATTAACAGGGTGAATGGGCTTTTGATTGCCAGCGCCGCAGAATATGTATGTGATAAAGAGCTAATAATACATAAATAATAAAAATAATAATAGCTAATAACACATATACTATAATAATGTATTATTAGCTCTTGATATGATGTGTAATTATGTATAATATGTGCAGGAGAAAGAGAAGCTGGTAGTGATGAAGAGAAGACAGCGTCATCGGTGGACAGCAAAGAAACCGCCGGATAAAAGTAACATGACTATGATGGACCTGATTTACTGGAACCCCAAGAACAACTGCATGCCGTGAGTAAGCCACATATGAGGGAAAATGCGTTTCTCCACGAATCCATTTTTAGGAGTTTTACTTTCTCTGACAATTTCGTGATGAAATTTCACTAAAAGCATTCTTGCAATCGTCAGTGTATACAAGTTCTCCATGTCGTAATGAAATGGTAAAATGCGATGTGCTTCCGGAATGAAGATCTTTACTGTTTTGTGTGATCCGATATCATCTTGGAATACAGCAGCAGGGACAAGTCACCGTCTAGAAGCACAGCTGCCAGCACACAGGGGTCTGAGATTTCCCAGCCATCTAACGTGCCGATGTAAGTACATGAATAACATTGGTTGCATGTGGGAAATCTACTTAGCATACTGTGTAGTAGGGCTGTCATTGGTATCAAATTATTTCGATTCGATTATGATATTTTTTTTTTCGATATTTCGATCCGTATTCGATCGATTCGATTTAATAATTGTAATAAAACATGAGCCGTGAAAGTACCAGTAAACTCATGTTTGTGTTCTACTATGATAAACTATGCATTTTATACATCGCTGTGCTTAAATACAAACATGAGCGAAGTATATATTTATCTGAATTCAACCAGATTGACCTGGTCGCGCGCAATGGCGAAGCAGCAGACATGCTTTTACGGTAGACAGATTTTATTATAGAGTCAGTGAGACAGGATACGCACCAGAGACAAAGCAACACACAGTTATTGATTGTCTCTGTATGCATGCGCCCTGCGCTACTTCCGATAATGGGCGGCGGCCGCTCAGTCAAAAATGCTACGGATGCTCGCTGGCTAGCATTTTAGCAAAATAAAAAAAAAATAAAAAAAATCGGATCGCTATTTTCTCGATTATATTCGATATCGATATCGGACCGCAAATCATCGCTGATTTATCGATGAGGTGGGCATCGATGACAGTCTACTGTGTAGTACAGCACACTGAGAGTATTTTAAAATTTAAGAAGGGATTTTTTGTTGGGGGATGATAATTGATTACCCAGCATGCATTATGATATAAGTGGTGTAGTATTGTTCCCAGCATGCTTGGTATCAGAGCAAACTGCATGCAGTCGCCCCATCGCTCACTCAGGATACCGCTGCCACAATGCTAGCACTATTTTTTAAGTGGCGCGAGCTCGGGGGGAAATCCAGCGAATGGAGATTCGTAAACAGCGTATGATTTGAAAGAGGTAAATGGGCGCACCAATCCGCGTACTATTTCGTATCACTATTTTATCAAATTTCTCATGAAATAAACGTCGGATTTTTTAGTTCTTTGCAACTTTTATTAGTCCGCATTTTTACTATAGTTACAACGAGTAACGTGCCTGCTGTAAAACTTGTAGTAAAAAAGCGTTACAAATTGTAACGAATCTACTTGTGCACGTGGTAGATTGAGCCCATGAGCGAGAGCGCCATCTGTCGTAGAGTTTGGTATCAGAGTAGCAAGCAAACTGCATGGCAGCGACCCTCTCGGTGATTTTTTTTCCTAGGATAATCAAGAACATAGGGCTCTAGTGAGCGCTGCCATTGGTTGATTACAATTCACGTGCCTCAAACTCCTGCTTTATGCGTGCAATTGTGACCTAACCCTAACCTATTAAAAAAAATTTAATTTAATTTTTAATTTGTTGAAAATTAATTGTTGTTATTAAATTGTTGTGAATAATCATGTAAATGTTTTGCGCTTAATTGGGAAAAATTGTTAAATGGATAAAGATAGAACAATTCAGAAAACAGGAAATAATTATAAAACAGATGGGATTCGATCAACGATCTTTCACTTGCGACGTCCGTGCTCTACGCATTCGGCTATTCAGGATTATTGGAATTATGGATTATGGATGTCTTTGAATATGACGGACACTGTGACGTGCATTAGCGACGAAACAAGCTCAAACAATGGCAGCGCGTCACTGAGCCCTATAGTTCTTGATTAATCCTAGGGAAAAAAATCAGCGCGTCCCCTTCGTACAACTCAGGATACCACTGCCACAAGGCTGGTTACTATTTTTCAAGAGGGTGGAGCTCCGGTGGAATCAGCAAATGGCAATATCCAACGGCGCGAAGTCGCGCCATCAAAACATTAGAATTTCTATGATTGCCATGTTTGTTTGGTGGACAAATTTAGATGTTTAGTGGAATACGCAAAAATGTATCAAAGACAATGTTCGAGAATTAGGTATATTGGCAAGCATCGAAAAATTCATATAAATATTAAATAAACACGTGAATTTAATTTAGTAAACAGCGTAATGGATTTGAAAGTAGTAAATAGGCGACCAATACGCCGCACTATTTCGTATCACTATTTTATCAAATTTCTAAAATAATGGTCGGATTTTTATATCTTTTGCAACTTTTATTAGTACAAGTCTTATTACATAGGATACGAGTAACCTGGCCCTTGTGTAAAAGGCGTTACAATTGTAACGAAAATCTACTGTGTGGCAGTGGCTGAATTAAGCCAGAGCGAGAGCGCCATCTGTCGTGGTGTTTGAGTAGCAGATGAGTGGATGTGCTGTCGTCAGATATCAGGAATAAACATGTAATCAGAAGAAACATGTCCTCGTTCAGGAACATAACAATGACCATTGTGAAATGTTGTTAGTGATGACACCTTTTGAATTGATACAGAAGATTAACAAGGGGGGGGGTACTTAGGAGAGTGTATAATTTAAGTACATGTAAGAAGCTTGGTATTTTCTAAAGTTCTTAGTCAGCACAGTGGCGTAAAGGTACCAGCAGTCTGGAAATGTTACGTTATATTCTATATTACATATAATTAATTAAGTTAATAGTGTAGCAGTGGACTAGTGTACTTTTTACAAATGACCTGTGAAGTTGACCATGGTAATGGCCTATGCATGCGTTCACTTGCAGAGAAGGTATACTGCCCAAGCTGAGGTAAAAGATGATGAGAGGAAGATGTGTTGGTGCCCAGGTGAAGCTTGCGGCCAGATGGTAGCATTATATTAACGAGGACAGGTGAGAATTACATGTACTCTGACGTCATCACTTCATTTCATTGTCACAGTGATAAGCAGAAAAAACAGTATGTTCAGTGGCAACTATGTAACAGTCTAATGTTGTTGTACAAATAAAAAGTTCTATAAACAAGGCAAACATTCTGTTTATAGGCTGCATCTCTTCAATTGGCCATCAAATGTCTTCGCGTTCCTGGAGACCTGCCTCGCAGTCATATGATTTTCTTTGCAGCCTTGTCATCGATACTTCGCTAAGAAGGATGCACAAGAAAAGGATCGGTAGTCTATGAGGACGCACGAGATACCTACACAACGTACGGAAGCTTCTCTAAGCGTACCTGCTCCAGGGCCGGCTGCGAGTGACAAAGGTAGACGACCGGTGCAATGCAGAGGGAAGCACAACATGCCGTGTCTGCCTGCATTGTCACATCCGCGTATGTCGTGCCACTAGCAGTCTGACAACTATGAGCACTATGTAGCAACAGCAGCTCAGGGGCTCCTGTGACCTTGATCAAGGTTATGGGCAGTGCACTCTGTCATCCCTCGGTAATGTGAGCGAGGTGCAGATCCAGTACATATTGCAGGTAGAGCTGTGCGCTGCATGCTAGGAAAAGCATACGTGTCGTCCAAATCATCTCACCGTAAAATTTTCCTTCCTCTTGGATAGATGCATAACAGGTCTAATGCACGATTTTACGATGTGTGTTGTGTGAATGTATGTGTATTTCTTGGGTGATCTGTTCCAGATACGCCAAGTTCTTTAAGCTTTGAGCACCGTTGGAACGGATTTCTCCATGATGGGGTCCCTCTTTCCTAATAGAAAGGAAATTGAACTGAAGGTGCAAAATGTCATCATTGTATTCTTTTATTACGATGTACTGACCTACCATAATAATGAAAATTGATTGATAAGTTACAGTAACTAAGAAGCTAATGAAATTTAAAAGCTGAGATCAATGATGAAAGTCAATAATTAATGAGCTCTATCTGCTACCATTATTATTATTTGTTATGATTTTCTATTGTTTTTTAGAATAAATTCAAACGTGAAGAACGTGTGAACAAAACAAGGTGGTATAAAGCAATCCTGAGTAAAAATCTCCTCAAGCTATTCCAGTCTTTATCTGGTGGCAGCATATTGCTAATACATGCGAATAATAGTTTATATATAACGTAGTACAACTTTGGTTTTCTATTAAACTTTCTAAATGCAGTAAAATTACTCTAGACATTTGATTGGGTGAATGATACAAATATTTAAGAATCTGTAGGTATTACGTTATATTTACTGCTTTAAATATGTATGTGTTATATAGTAGAATGTTATATGTGGTACTTCTCATTCCTACTTGCTACTGCTGCCTGATCCTAAAAGTGAAAGCTAGAATATTTTCATCTGCAAAGGCCAAGTTTAGTTTAGTGTGGGTGTACTCATTGTTGATGACCTCTTGTGTGGTTGATAACTCTGATACAAGCATGCTGGGATCTCTAGAAGTCCTTCACAGGACAATCATTCCTTTATGTTTGTAAATGTTATCAGCTGTGATTATGTTGTTTGCAGGAGATAAGCAGAGCTTTGACTTGTCTGTGTTTGATAAATCTGACACCGAAGATGAAGAGGTGGCAACTAAGAAGCCAATAAAAAAAGAAAGAAGCAGCAGAGAGCACGTAAAAAGACTGAGAACAACGAGGAGGTGCCACGAAGCCAGCGAAAAAGTCCAAGCGGAAAATAGACGTAAGACAAACTTTGTAACCACCTAGTAGTCCTAGAATTCACATGTGAAATGAAAACACGCATTAATATTTAATTATATAATATTAATATTAATATTTAATGGATAATTAAGCTGCATAGTAATGAATTATTTTGTTATATATTGAATGGCATAAAAAATTATTTATATAATAATATATATATATATATATATATATATAAAACAAAGTCAAGGTATAGAATAAGGGTGTTAAAGTTTAATTGACAAGCTTTCGAGATTACATCTCTTCATCAGGTCAGCAGACATTGGAATAGAATCAAATAATCAAAAACAAATACAATGCGTTATAGATATGAAGGATTCACACAATTCGCTCGTTGCCATGAATACGGACGACAAAAGAACACGCACATATATATATACACGCACAAAAACGCACACACACACAAAACACACACACACACGATCAACACACACACACACACACACACACACACACACACACACACACACACACACACACACACACCACACACACACAAACAACACCAACGAAGCAATGGACTCAAAAATCACACGTAATTAAAGTTTACGTTCATGGCCC